CTACAATAGCACGTCGTATTCAGGTGTCCATTCCGAGCTTGTTCTTTCCTGCGTTGCGGATGAGAGACACGCTAACGCAATTAGGCAATTACGGAGGAAGGCAGGCACGATTGAGAAGGACACCACAAGAACCAATTGGCTTGCACAGTCAACGTCTGTTGTACTTGACCGCCAGAATTGTCCTTCTTGTTCGCTTTTACAATTGTTTAAATTTCTACGTCTCTTACTTTTATCTACTTTTTTCTAGCATTTTACTTTATGTCCCATTGTCTCTGTCGTAGCTACTTCTCCATGGTATGTTTGGTGACTCGCGCCGCAGTATTTACGTGAGACAAAAGCACATCAAGGAGGGCAAATAAAATATTATATTGCAAACGTGCTATTCACTATAACACAATACTATTTGCGCCTGCATTTCCCACGAGTCCGGTAAACTCGCCATGGACTTGCGTCATTTCGTAAAGGTAAAGCAGAGCGTCGTGGACCTCCGGTCACGCGGTGCGGAGGCAATATAGGCCATATTTGCGTTTCTGGCCTGTGCCGTCGAAGTGACAGTTTGTGAAAAGCAGAGGCCACAACAAACCAAACTAGCCGTGGAGTTTATCGTAGAGTGTGCAGAAGCAGTCGAACTCCAAGTCGTGCAAAATACATAGAGCCAGAATATCGATTTTGTTGCGGTGAGGCCTCTAGGCCACAGTTCAGATCTCTGTTGCAAAGCTGACAATTACGAAATCATTATTCCATTCTTTTCTTTTCTTTTTTTGTGAAAAACTTGATCGAAAAGTATAATCAAGAGTACCAAAATCTGAAACACTCCAACATCTTGAACTGATTGGAAATCCCATTGGTCGTCGAAGCCGCGGATGCTTACCCATCCGACATCGCTGCATGTACAAAGGGAGGCAAAAGCACATCGGTGCCGATGGGAAGCACGGATCATCGGACAGCTGCGGCCAGCCTTATGCTCCGTATCTCGGTCTAGACCGCTGATGTCTGACTACTACATCCCGCTGTGCTTTCCAATCCATCGTACTTTGACCTGCCGGGACCCGAAATACGTCATTGGAAAAGAGACGGGCAATGGGTGATTGGAACGACAAGACACACACATCAGACATCTGAGAGTCAGCATAACTAAGAAAAATAAATAAAAATAAACAAACATAGGTGATGAGTGATGGGACCGGTCTGCACATCTGCGGCCGCCTGCAAAAGATAAAGGAGCACGGAGTAAGCGGTGGCGCGATGGGCGCAATCCTTTTGTCACAAAGTGCACTGCAACATACGGCGCCACGGCGCTCTCTCTGCTCCTGAACTTCTTTCTTAGATTACCGCATCGTTATTTTTCAGAATATCATTCGGGGTGGCTGAATTGCATGCTCGTGTTCCGGTTCCGGCGTCCTTCTATCCGCTCTGCACAGCCTGGGAACCCGTTTTGTGGCTGTCCTTGTGTTTTTTTTTTTTTGCTGCTGTCTCCCATCCACCGGCAGACGGCTCTTCCGGGTGCCAGCTCCTGAGGCGGCTGGCATCCTCACGCTGTCTTACGTCCTTCTCAGATCGTCCACGGTGGGCAAAAATTAATTTTCTTTTTATTGCCTAACATCCACTTCCCACTTCTCTTACTTCCCAAATTTTTGCATTCCTCGCCATCTTGGGGGGGTGTTCTTGTACAAAAGACCGGCCGTTCCAGTTCGTGGCTGATGGTGTTTGCAGGAGCGTCTAGAAGGACAAAAGGAAGGCTCGCAGGCGTGAGCCATGCCCCTCCCTCCCCCCGGACCTCCGGCTCTGACACACCTACATCGTCTCAGATGCATGCTGCATGCAGATTCACAAGGCACAGAGAAATCGAAGACAGGTTTAACGTGCGAGGGCAGCAAAGACCAGCGAGGGCTGAGAAGGGGCGAAAAAGACATGCATGAGACTCACTGCTCGAGCAAGCCAGCGACGATGCACACGCCCACCCATTTCCTTGTTTACCCGGTACCAGCGCGATCACCAAGTACAGTAGTTACCCGCACGTCTGGTTTCAGCTCTGGACAGTGGGGGGCTTGGTGGTTGTTTTATTTTACTTAAACAACTTCATCTCGGAGATCTAAAGACACACGAAAGACACAGAGACACAAGAGACACGGCCGTTTATCTGCGTACGGCCTGCATGTGGCACTCATAATGTGGTCTTGGGGCCATGCTGTGTGCGTGGATTCTGACTGAACGCAGAGTTGACTGCCAGTACATTGATGGGCCTTCTCTGGAACGGCCTCTATGCAGCGTTTGTCTGACGCTGGCGGCGTCGTGATCGACGCTGCAAGCCACTACGAAAACGCCTCCTGATGAAGACGGTGACTGACACATAGTACGCAGTGGATGACCGAAACATATGGAGCTTATCTACTTCTCACCGTGCAGATGCTGGACTTGTCTCGGTGTGCAGACGCTCTCAGAGTCTCTCCTGCGTATCTAGCAGCAGTGTTGAGGATGAATAGAGGAGAGAGGATAGGCTAGAGACACGACTGGCTGCAGATTAGTGGGAATAAACGAATGCACGGAATAAGCCACCCTGTACATTGGAGTGCAATACGAGCAAAACGTCGCAAACGTATGACTAGATGGAATCCGAGAGAGCAACGTGCACACAAGCATCTGCGCCTGAGAGCTTGTTTTGCACTGGCATACCAGGACGCTGATCCAGTCTTCAGTCGTCTTTGGCCTCTCTGCTTCTTGTCGTCGTGCCTGTTTGTGTCTGTTTCTGCAACCGGTTGGTTTCCCCGGAAATTACACAAACTATCGCAGTGTCTCTGTGCTGGCCGAGTTTGTGCCGGTCCCAGCAAGTCTATTGGCTCTCCCGGGAAGCTGGTTGAAGGGCAGTGGCCCTCTTTCCGATCGTGTGCTGTTGCATGTTTTCTAAGTTTGCTGCTGTTGTTATTTTGGCCTTCTTTTGCTACAAAAGTCGATGCTGTTGTGCAACAGTGCGTGTTGGACAATACAATACTTCTTACATTCGTATGGCTGGAGCCACTTACATGTGGACATTGGCTGTGTGCCAGCTTCTTGTCGTCTTTATCGTCTAGAATAATGGCTTGCAGTTTGCGTGTAACGGCAGACGGTGGTCGTTCTAGCCGCCAACGTGCAATGCGACAGGTCCAATACGAGAACGCGGCCTGCACCTGACCTGACCTGACTTGTGCAACCACCCACGGTGAAAAGGGGAGGGAGTGTCGAGCCTTTCCTGCCCCTGGCCTTGCTGGAAACCTCCGGCGATGTAACGTAGAAGCTGTCAAACGAGGTACGGAGCACACGGTAAGACAACACGACAGCAAAACAGCAAGACAGCAAGACAGCAAGCGTAGCAAGCGTGCACAATCTGGATGGGCAGCCTGCCCTGGTCGGACGTGGAGATGTGGCCGGCGTTTTGTGTCTTTGTAGACATGGGGGAGGGAAATCAATAATAATAGAAAAGTAGACGAATAAATCAGAAGCAGCACGGCAAGGCCGTTTCAGCCAGCCTCGTGTTCCGCCACTGTCTCTGCGTCTTATCTGCTTGTGCGTCTGCGTCTACTTGTGTCTGTGGGCATCGCCATCGTGTCGATGTCTGCAGTTGCTCCGCAAGGATAGCATGACTGGCTCGGAGGACCTTGACCTGCAGAGTCGGGGCCAAGTCGGTGCAACTTGTGTCTGCAAATGTGCTACTCGGGGCTTGACAGAGGTGTGGCGAGACAGCAGGCGAACTGTGAACGGTTGGCTCTTTCTCGGATGGTTTGGACCAAGTTTGTTGTCGATTTTGGCTGTTGTCGTGCCGCTCGTACACCGCAAAGGATGCTCGCAAAACACACAATCCACGTATGCGGCGACAGTTTGCCTCGAAATGGTGCCTGTGCGCCGTCGCCAGCTGGCCATTTATGCGCCTGGACTGCATCTGTTATTCTCCTCGTGCCCATCCCGAATCCTTTCTCTTCGACCAGCCGCCACGATATCGTGTCAAAAAAAAAAAAGAAAAGAAAAGAAAAGAAAAGAAAAAAAAGAGAGAAAGACAAAACAGGATCGCGATGCCAGAATGCCACGTTGTCGACAATGCACGCAGCGGCAGGAGCTGCACGTACAGATGGCGCCCACGGGTCGTTCTTCTTTGGGAATCTGCGCTCGTGTTGTGGTCACATACGTCTGCGTGTTTCCTCGCCATGCTACTCTCTGCCCGAAATAAGTCCCGGACACCAGTCGCATCTCCGAGGATTTATACACGAGAACTCTGTCTGTGTCCGGCCATTGAGGCTCTTTACTCCGAACGTGGATGTGGATGAGACTCCGGTGGTCCGGAGGCCGCCTTTGTGATAGTTCAAGGCCCTTTGTCTAACTTGCGAGTAGTCCGGTCGCTTGTCCGACGCCCCTGCGTAGTTACGACGACGCTGTGCTATCACTCATCATTAAGTACCTTCAGTGATCCGTGGTTGTCCACGTATCACCGTCCCCGTGTCATCCGCTTGATTGGAGGCCGTTGCAACTTGGGAGGTCTTGTGGTTTAGAGGGGAGCCCATGACAGCAATGCTCGATATATCAGCGCAACGCGGAGTGCCGCATATTACTGGGATACAAAGAACAACGAGACACACCCTTTGCATGGTTGCTCCAAGACTTGGGCGTCGTCGACCAGGTGAGCATTAAATTGTAGTAATAAAGAAGAACAAATGTAGAGAAGAATAAAACAAAACCCAAAACATCCAAGAAATTCACAAATTCACAAATCCATAAATCCCCAAATCCACACATACACAAATACACGAAAACAAATCTTTGTAAAACTCCTTGTAGCGAAACTCCCCAAACATATAATTATAGCCAGCAGCCTCGGTTTTCCCCGTGGTCGTAAAAGTATCGTTTTTCGGTCAAACACAAGGCAGGACGGGATCCCTGGAGCATGGCTTTGAAAAGAATCGAATGGCAATATGCCAAAATGGGCCAAAAATTAGAAGACGACGTGGAAGCACATCAAAGCCCATCTGTCCACCTCAGTCCAGACGGCGTCTCACGCGACGTGCGCGGAGAGGAGCCGGACAGTCCGTGGGAGCCGAATACAAAGCACTGGCGGTGTTAGCGGGAAGTCTGGCGAACAAAAAAAAGAAAAGAAAAGATACAGACATACCCAGTGTACGTCGTTGGTGGCACGGTCACAAAGTCGCTCGTGTCGAGCACGTCCTGCGTGTTGCCGGCGGCGTTGCCCTGGTACGGGATGCCCTGCTTGATGCAGTTGTCAATGTGGTCCTGCGGAAACGAGGCGTTGCGCAGCAGCTCGGGGCTCTGGATCAGGGTCGCCGTCAGGCCCATCTCGACGTGCCACTCAATGTGGCAGTGGAACAAGAAGACGCCCGGGTTCGTGATCTGGATGCGCAGCACGGCGTACGAGTTGGGGTTGATGGAGATGGTGTCGCGGCGCATGGGGCTGGCCGGGAACGTGCGGTTGTGGCCGCCCCAGACGCCCGCGTTGCTGGCGGGGCGGTCGAGCACCTGGAACTGGTGGCCGTGCATGTGGAACGGGTGGATGGCCGTGTCCAGGTTGTTGACGACGACAGTGACAACGGAGCCCGTCGCCAGGATGAACGGGTTGACGTCGCCGTAGACGGCCGGGTTCGTGTTGTTGGCGCCCGTCGTGGCCACCGAGTAGAGCGTGGGCACCTTTTGCGCAATGTACGGCTGGCCGTTGAAGCAGGCGCGCGGCAGGCCGTTGGCGTCAATGCAAAAGTCAAAGTTGAGCGTAATGGTCTGCGCCACCGGGCCGTACGCCGCCGCGCCGTCGAGCGCCCGCAAGGACAGGTCGTCGAGCGGCTGCCAGAGGCTGACGACGTCCTGCGGGAACGCGCCGCTGGGGTCCATGACCAGGTAGCCGGTGGCGTTGTGCGGCCAGACGACGGCCTGGGGCGGGTCGTTGGCAAAGTCGCGGTTGATGTCGAGGGATAGCAGGAAGGGGTAGTTGCGGTGGTCGCGCGCGATGCCGGAAATCAGAACGTCGTAGCGCTGGGCGGGCGCGATGCGCAGCTGGTACGCCTGGGCCTGCGTGACGTACGAGGCGTCGGCCATGATGACCTGCATGGTGTGCGAGTCAAAGTGCAGCAGGGTGGACGCAAACGCGGCGAAGCTGATGATGCGGACGCGGTACGTCTTGTTGCCGGCAAAGGAAATGTTGGCGCCGCGACCCTCGTTAACGACGATGCCGTCGGGGAACGGCGGCAGGAACTGCGTGTTGCTGGACTCGAGCATGTTCCGGACGAGCGTGAGGGACTGGTCATGGTACCTAGGCGGTCAGCCAGGAAGGAAGAATGGCCGTAGAAAATCAGACATCGGCCGTGACGTACCAGTCCGAGACGGTCAGGACGATCTCCTCGTCATACTTGCCGGCATACGGGTCGTTGGGATCGTGCACGATGAAGGGGCCGCGCAGGCCGTCGGGGTACTGCCCCATGTTGTGGGAGTGGTCTGCAGGCGAGTCAGCATTTCCTCTGCATTTGATCACATCGTCCCATCGTCACATCGTCACATTAATCGTCCTCAGGCTGCGGGCCAGTACGTACACCAATACGTTCCCGGGGCATTGGCCTACAGCAGGTTAGAAAATGTCGTGCTCCGCGAAACCGCCGTCACCGGATAGAAAGGGGCAGAGACCGACCACAAACGTATACGTAATCGACGAGCCGGGCGGGACGGGGCATTGCGTTACGCCGCTGGGGCCGTCCATCCACGGCGTCTGCACCTGGTCGATGCCGTGGAAGTGGAGGCCCGTCGTCTCGTTGCCCAGCTGGTTGTTGATGGTGAGCTGAATGATGTCGCCGGCGGTGGCCTCGAGCGTGGGGCACGGCCAGGCGCCGTTGATGCCGATGACGGGCCGGGAAAAGCCGTCGGGCGCGGCATTGACCCACGTGATGTCCCAGTTGACCGTCACGGTAGCTGCCAGCGTCCGCGAGGCCAGAAGCACGGAGGCCAGGGCTGGCAGGAGGCTGAATCGCGCCATTTTCACACGGCAGAGATGGGAATGGTTAGTACACGTTGTAATGATGTAAATAATCGATGTTGGTGAGTGATGTGTCGAGTAGGATCCAAATGAAACACGACAACAAAAGAATAATAACGCCAAGAACGAATAGAAGCAGCAAAGAAAGACGGGGGGCGTTGAATCAAGACAAGATGAAGGCGTAAAGTGAACGGACAGGCCCAAAGACGAGTTCCGCCAGCGAGAGAAGACGGCGTCGACCACGGAAAACACAACACGGAACGAAAGATGAAAGAGAAAGAAGGACAAGAAAGGGAATGGAGCGAGGAAACAAACGGGACGAGCGTGGACGATGGTGGGATTATAAAAAGAAAACCAAACAAAGAGAGTAGGAAGATGATGAGTAGGCAGACCAGGGAAAAGCGTCAGATCAGAGGGACAAAACAATACAAAACAAAAAACAAAAACAAGAAAAATTAGAAAAGAATAAAGAGACTTAAGAAAGGAGACAAGGGAGTGAACAAGGATCGACCAGCCGCCCCAGAAGCAGAAGCAGAAGCGTCTGCGTTCATCACGGGCACCCGAGGGAGACTGCAAAACAAAACGAATAAAGTGGGACGTGCGCAGCCTGGTATTCTTCATTAACTCTCGGAAGGTAGACCAGAAAAGAGGACAAGGAAGGGGACATCTGAGGACAAGGAAGGGGATATTAGAGGACAAGTAAGGGACATCAACAGGGGCCATGGTGGCGTGGTCCTGTGCAAATGTGCAAGCTGCAGGAGCGTCGAGAGAACGCTGGATGCGGGCTCGGCCTGCAGTTGAGTCTGGAGGCGTTGGCTGTCTGGGAGGGTTTGGTTATGTCTATTTATTTTATTTCTATTCTTTTCTTTCATGCAGCTTCCTCCCTACGTCAGATCCAGGCCATGAGAAAACACACAATCGGGAGAGTGCATCTCAAGGAATGATGTTGGCACAAACAGGGCTCGGCCACTTGGCTGAGCCACTCATCGGGGCCATCAGAGTGTTCCTCGTCCATGTCAATCAGCTGCATCCCAGAAAGACATAAGAAGCCAGGATGCGGTTCAGCCTTGACGCCCGGACGCAGAGACACCTGAACGCCATAGTACCGAGAGCTGAACGACGCAGGAATCAGGAAATCAGGAGGGGGAGCTGCGTGTAGACACGACACTTGGAGGAGCAGAATAAGAGCAGAAGAGAACAGCAGCCGACCTCTCCAGCGCACAGCCCGATCGATCGAAATGGCACGTTCCCTCTCCTCGTCACCGCCTTTGAGGCGTCTTTCATATTTGTTGATAGTCGCATCCCTCGGTGCTGCGTGGGCAAGACCGGCTCTGCGGAGTGCAAGCCATCGAGCCCTAGCAGCCGCTGTGCAACGCGGTAGTGTGTGGAGAGAAGAGAGGGAATTGTTGGAAAGCGAGAGGAAGTGCCAGGTATGGAGTCATGACGAGAGAAGAACGGTTTGCAGAACGCGAGTCACATAATTTTGCGCCAAAGTGCTCCAAATGTCGTTTTCCATGAAAACAGGTTGTTGAAAACAGATTGTTGAAAACAGGTTGTCGAAAACATCTGCTGTCAGCCTCGGGGCGAAAGTCCGTCGACGTCAAAGAGCGTGAGGCCCGCTCTGGACAGCACCCGACACGCTGGACAGTGCTGCCGGCTTATACGTACCTTAGACACTGTTTTTCCGCGCCTTTGACACTACGTAGACATTTCAGACAAAACTCGGAGCCCCGGTGCTCGTGTCCTCGACGCAAGCCGTCACTGTCCTAATGGAATTGCTAGCAAGCCCCGTGTTGTTCGTTTTCAGAGCTTGCACAGAGTACTGCTACGTTTTGCTTCTTCTGCTTCCCGTCTGCTTGCCTCGATGTCTTGTGTCGCCTCAATCATCAAGGTTGAACAAGGCTTTGTCAAGTGCTCATAATGTGACCTCCTTCTCATATTCATAGATATGACCTTAGAAGCAGGAAAGCGGGCTTTTGCTTACCCCCGGCTGTCCGTATTTCGATTGCATCTGTGGGTGGTAGGAAAGGCTCGCCATTCGTTTTTGTTGGACGCCACGCTGCTTACTTCGGTCAGCCTTGGACGTGATGCAGCACAGACACGACAGAAAGCTGCAGACGAGAAAATAAAAGGCGTTCGCTGTATCATCGGAACGGTTTGGATGTAGAAGATGGAGAATTGTTTGTTTTACTCGTTTCGTTTCTTCAAAGAGTCCGCATGTCAACGTTGACAGAGATATCAAGTTGGCATTTGTTTTCTTAACGTGGCATCCTCCTTTGCTCCTGGGGACTCGTTTGTTTCCATTCATATCGCAGCATCAAAGCAACCCGAGGATCGAAGGGTGTCTCGGCCCAGACCACCCACTCTTCAGGCTGGCAAATCATGAGACTGCGCGTGTTGAAATTGCGCGTGTGACAGGGAGAGAGAGAGAGAGAGAGAAACAGATAAGAGACTGCTTGTGTCCGTGCGCCTTGATCGTTTTCATGGCTCGGGGAGGACAAGACGCATGCAGGTGGGCATTGGCAATGTACGACCTTGGTGTGACTTGTGACTGTCCTTTCTTTCTTTCTTTCTTTTTTTTTTCAAATTTTACAAAAATAAATTAAAAAATAAAAACGAAAGTAAACTCTGCGCGGGCTACTAAAGCAAGTAAACGTATATGATTAAGAGGCGTGGTGACAAAAGATGCCAAATGATGAAATCAAGTGGATGTACCATCATTGTCAAGTTTTGTAAATAAGAGCAAGACGGACGATAATTTAGACATGGTAACTACATTCAACCACAGTCACATAGGCCTCATGAAACTACCGACCGCCACGTCGGAAATTTCATCATCTACCTACGGTGATCTGCCTGGCTGATTACACGTCCAGCTGCAAGGCGAGTTATCTTGACGGTGGGCTGCGCCCATGAAAAGTAATAAAAAGTATGTCAGCTGTGGTTGGTGGCTTATCACCCTTACTTCCCTTGACTGCCAAATCTGTAACGATGCTATATATATCTGTTTGCCAATACAATGTCCATGAATAGATGGAGAGACGGCCAAGCCAAATGCCAAAAGCAAAATAAACTCCCATGTTGGAGTAGAAAGCCGAGACTGTTGTTTGAGATACGACGTTCTGAAATATTGACAGGCGGATCAAGATGTTGAGGAGAAAACCCTTGGGGGAAAAAGCAAAGAAAACGTAAGAACGAAGGGGGAAGGACCTACAAGAATCCAGTTCGGAAGAAGTAAGAAGTTGTAGATCAAGCGAATTCTCATCCAGCAATTCGTCGCAAGTCTACATTCCGTATTCCGTAGTCGTCCGTATTCTGTATCTGCTTCCGTACTCTATCTTTGTGTATTCTCTTCTCCACGATGTTCGCGGCTGCACTTACGCCGATCCTTGAAAAAGCCTACATTGGCTGTTTTCTACACTCTCGATCCGGGCCATTTGTGATGCAATGTTTCCGCCCATTGAGCTGCGGATCGGAAGAGGAGCAAGAGCATAAACGACACTCATCGCTGGCCAATGAGGCCAAAAGACAAAAGACCAAAAGAGGCCGTCTGTCACCAGTCGCCACACACGGTGCAGGTACCCATTGCCTTTCTGTCCTCGTCGTATTCGGTCCCGCGTCCGTGACAAGGCAAACGGCAATCATGAGATGATAGGAGAGAAAGAAAAGAGACAAGGTGGCAGACCGGGGGATTGGCTCCGGACTATGGATAGGAATAGAAAGAAGACAGCAGAAGCGAAGTAGCCGACAGCAAAATGCGAATCATCGTCGAGAAACAGGGACTGAGCATAAGGAGTGCATGGATCCGTGGATTCGACGGTGGCAGCGCAGTTGGTCCAAAATAAGCACGAAAAGGGACGAAAAGGAACACAAAGGGGAGAGTGTAGGAGCACAATGGAACAAGCGGTCGATGTGTGCAGCCAGACCAAGACATGGGCATGCGGTCAGACCACATGTTCACACTCTCCTGCTCGGGGGGGCGTCTCGGGAAGAAAATGAAAACAAAAAAGTTTACGAGAAACGAGACAAGGTTCAGATGCAAGGCTAACGACGGAATCGGAATCGGGAGCAGTGCAGGGAAATGACCCGGCAGGAGGCCGAGTGCAGCAACCACAGCCGTTGATTGCATTCGGCGCAGTCGATAAATCTACAGAAGACAAGATCGGGTGCCTGGGTTAGAGTGTGCACCCGGCAAGTTCCTCGAGTTGCGTCTTGATGGAAGCATAAGCTCTTTTCTGCTTCTTCTTTTTTTTTTTAATGCTCAGGCCGTACTTACAATGTTTTGACTCAGCAGGCAATCTCGCTAATAAAATTGGCGTAATTGCCGTAGTTTATGAGAGACAATATTCTGTACAGAGTGTCAGCTCATCCGACAGAATGTGATAAGCCATGTTGGGTGGCCGGAACAAGAACCCGTCTTACTTTGTAGTTTGTTGCTTTTGTCCGTATCCAATTGTTTGAAACATTTCACGTCATGCTTATTCGCAAGACTCTGCCATGTCTGGCAACTTCAAGAATCAAGAACCGCCTCCGGACGAAAACACCCTCATGGGCGTTTTCTCACGCAGCCGCCACATCTTTTCTGTAGTGGTGGCCAGGTACCAGGTCGGGCTGAAGGCGAAAATAATCAATAACCCCGCACGTCTCATAACAACGGCAACCCAAAAATAAAAGATGCAAACGAAAGCAAAAATAAAAATAAAAATGAAGACAGAAACAAAACAAATGAGACCAAGGGCGAGAACGAGTGGGGAGAGCAACTGCAACCAGACAGACAGAGAATGAATGCCCGGAATGCATCTCGTGCGCAAACAGACGTGGGAGAACGTGTTCGGCTGGAAGGATCATCTGGGCGGAAGCATCCTACAGGAAAGGAAAAGGCCGTACGGAGCGCACAAAAGGCAAAAGAAGGGAAGCGATGTGGCGTGTTGTACCCTAGTAGGCGGACCGGGCGGACCTGGTCACACAAGCTTCCTCGAGTGGTATGTTCCCGCGCAGCT